GAGATACATAATTAAACAGCACACTGGCTGGCATGCTCTTTAGAACAATTTGTCATATTTAATTATTAAATTGGAAATTAAAGAGAACAGCTTTGTACTCCATCAGGTGCATACATTTCGTGACTTAGGACAAATAATTTTTAATTTAATTCATTTTCCTTGAGTTCAGTTTCCTAGAAGAAGCTGTGCATGTATGCTAAGACTGGATCAATTAGCTTTATCTGTAGCTGATGAAAGACCACAGTTTCCTTCAGAGGATAAGAATAAATTTAATTTTAAGCAAAGCTTAAATTCGATACAGGAAAAATTCAATACTCTCAATACACACCTTCACAGGTGATTTCACTGTGTTAAACTAGATCCCTAATTTTCAGAGACCAAAGATGAGCAAGATGCATCTCAAGCTCAGCATCCCTAGCCTCCTGTGCCACCATATAAGGCACACAGCACATGCAATTCAAAACCTCTCCAAGCATTAGCTCCCAGTCTGGATCTAGCACACAGGAGGTTCTTGTTCAATTACTGTGCTGTAATGCAGCAACACAAACTCTCAGCCACAGGAAAATCCTGTCTGACTGACCTCCTGCCTTACAGGATGCTCCCATACATCCTGATGCTGTAAACTGCTGTCTATGCTTCCAAATTGCACCTGACCTCAATGTTTTGATGGAAACATTTTGAGTTTCTTGCTACAAGACCACAGCACTCTAACAGGTCAATGGCCTTTCACCATGCTTTAAAAGCTGCAGTTGTATCTGAAGATTGACTCTAATACTAGATTAGATTAGATTAGGATTAAGAGCACTGTTTTTCAGATTTATGATGTATTTCTGAATTACAGTCTACATGGCACGCGAGTTCTACTGCTTGGCTAAAAAGACACAACAGCAAATACAAGGAGTCACATAAAAATTCCAGAACACATAACCCCAGGTCTTTCCTAGAGTCCTAGATTAGATTAGTTTTGCTTTTATCCTGGACTATTTCTCATGTAACTTCTGATTTTAATACTACAACAGCAGATTATGGTTCTACACAGAATGCCTAGATAACCTTACATCTGAAACTTCTGTAGTCCACCTACACCAGTTCTTCTCCCATTGAAACCAGTGGTAGAGCAGATCCAGTGGCAGCAACAGGAGGATATTTTGGAGGGATAAGGAGGAACAGAAAGAAACCAAGTGTGAACAAGTCCTGCTGAATTACTCCACTGACTTTGCATCCTTTAAAGGGAAGTGCTGTTAGTGGAGAAGCCAGCTGTCTAACTATTGGAATCTATACCTTGGACTGCTTTCAGGAGACATCACTGTGACTGGACTTTGTATCTTCTTGTTGTGCACTGAAGGCAACATCCACTGCTATGATAAAGCAGATTAAATAACAGCCAAATATTCTATTAAATAAACTTTGACCTACATTATATGAAATCCTTTTGAGCTAGCCACTGACAGAAAAGGAAAGAAACCTCCAAGGAAATCAGCGTACATCAGCAAAAAGGAATTCCCAGGACTGTTGTATGCCCACAGGCAGCCCTTTGAAGGTTGAGTAAATAGAAGGAACTTTTGACAACAGCTGGAAGGCTGCACTCAAATTATGTCAGAAAGATGAGAAAGAACTATGGTCTCCCAGTATAGTGACACAGAAGGTGCAGTCCATACTGAAGGCAGTAATATTAAAACAAAAATGAGGAGGAGAAATTACATTAAAAATGCAGAACCACCTGCCATTTATTTACCAATATGGGCTCTTGTCTAGAGAGCAACTGAAGTGCTTAGTTATATCAGTCCCTATGCAGGAGAGCAGTGAGGCATGGGCTCACTGTCTAATATGTGATTTAATCCAACACACCACGTAGGAGATTGAACATTTGCCTAGATCTAAGTGCATGCTTTGTTAACTTGATGAACTGGGACCATCTGACCCTGCAGTCCTGCCAGAACAGATGGGCCCAACAGTGATAACATCTGTAGAAGTGGTGGTATCTCCTTGTAATTCTTTATCTCATCTTTCTCTGTGATAGCATCTTTGCATACTGCTGCACTTAAAAGGTCAGCAGCAATTTAAAATCTATTGCTTAAAAATTACTTTAGTTGTCAGATACTTCTCAATTATGATTGTAGATCATGATTGCTGAAAAGGAATATTTTTTTCTCTTAATTTGCTCTTTCTGTTGTACAGCACATTAGGCAATATCACACTTTCTACACACTTTCTATCTTTCTACATCACACAAATTTTACGTATAATTGATTGCTTTGGTCTTTGGAAAGCCTTGGGAAAACATTTATCAGAATAAAAAATTCTGACTTTTCTAATACTAATGTTATCTTTATGTCAAGGATGAGCATTTATTATGCCATAGGATACACAAATATTTAAGCCTGCAAATAAGTGAATGCCATGTTTCATAGCTGAAATCATCACTGGTGTGATAGATATTCCATTCCTATCTTGTTACATGTCCCACACAAGCTTTTTGAAGAGCTATTAGACATTATATAATCCTTCATAAAATTATTATTCTGTAAGAAAAATACATAGACATCTTTGGTCTGGCTACTCTAAAAATGATTTTGAAGTACTCAGAGATTTTCACCAGAAAGATTCCAGGATTCAGGATTTGTATTAACTACTTATGCGTATTTATGATGGTATGGAAAAATGTTGCTACTGATTAATAACTAAAGCAGGCAGCAGGAATAAGTTAGTAAACCTATCAACTTTATAAATTATTAAATTTGGACATTGAAGGGTAAAATAACTTGAGCAGAAGTTTTTAGAGTTTACTTGCTTATGAAAATTTGACAGACTGATAAAAGAAAAGGAAGGCTGACTAATCAGTTCTTGTACCTACAGTTCAGCTGGATCTGGCACCTGCATATCCAGGAACAGAATTTGCCCTTCCATGCTTTAAATGGGAACAAAACCAAATGTGGCACAGCTGTGGGCATCCTGCAAAGTCATGACACTCCACTTTTTATCAGGAGCGCTCAGTTTTAAAAGCATTAGGCTAAAACAACCTGATTGGCAGATTTCAGGAAAAATCTCTAGGGAAAAGCTTGTATTTCATATTATAACTCAGTAAGGGAAAATAATCTGGGGAAAAAAGAAAAAAAAACCACAACAACAAAAAAATCAAACCAAACTCCACATCTTTAGTATTTGTAGTACTTTTCAGTGATACACATAAAACAACACGCACACAGACACAAACCAAAATATTACTGTAATCTACTCCTGGTTTGCTGTACTTTTTAGTCTTATGAAACAAATAATTTAGCAGGCAATGTACAATATAGAGGCCTCCGGCGGATTGCAGTATACTAAGTAAGCATGTTTTTCTTTTTGTTTAATTTATAGTCCCTGGGGAAAAAAAAGACATTTTAAAAGCCTGTTTCCTGGGTTTACAAATCTCATAGGGATAGTTAGTTCTTAACTGGCTGAATTGCTGGCTAAAATGTGAAACACACTGTACCACTAGAGGTCTTTCCATCTGCTAATATTCTAAGGCCTCAAGGGTTCTTCACCAGGGAATCTCCATGTTTAAATCACAGGGAATAGTAATATGTAGAGCTGTCTTTTCAAATTGACAACTGCAGGACAAACAGAGGGATATCAACCTAGACTTTGCTGTATAAGCATTAGGGGCAATAAGTTCCCAAAGAGAAACTGAATATTCATCTTTTTTTATGTCCTAAATCTTAATTTAACTTGAGTAATTCTTAAAATGTAAACTCCTGCCAAACTCTGTGAATAACAGATTTTTGGTCTCAGTGATATAACTGAGAAGGAGAAGAGAAAAAAAAAAGGCAAGAAAAGAAATTGGTAGAGCTGACTGAATTGAGTTACTTCATGTTTTGGCTCTTGGCATGCTTGTCTTTTTTTTCCATATTTTTCATTTCTTAACCAAAGTGGATCATTCTGTAAATGGAAACGTTTAATGCTGAAAATGTCAAAACAAAACACTTAATCTTTTCAGAATTTTACTGTCTAAAATCAAATTCTACCAGAATTTTAAAATAGATGTAGTAAGTAAGCAACTACTTACTTTTTGTGAATTTATTGTTCCTTCATTTCTAGTTAGTCATAACAGGGCAACTGCACATCCGACTTGGTCATGTACAAACAATCCCAGGAAATAATGGATCTTTAATCTCTGTGTAGGACAGCAGAGAATTCAGCAGTTACTAAGGAAATCAAAAACCACAGCAGGAAAAAAGACAAAAATACAAGAGCGTAAGAGTTGTATGAATGAAAACATTGACGTTTACTGGAGCTGAGTGAAAAATGCAAAATATTTGCCAATTAAGTATTTTCCATAGGTGGCTGGTGCAAATGCAAAGCACAGGAAAGCCATGCTATATCAGTCCCATTTCTTATCTTGTGCAAATCTATGGAATATAAAAATCTTCCACTTTTATCTGTTCCATCAGCCTTCCTATTTCATCGGTTACTTTGCTACTTTGATTCCTGCTTCCCACTTTTTAGCTGGCAGACCTTACAGCCTGTGAGTGGTACACAGCATTTCCACTTTGGAACACGCACTGACTGTACACAGGACCTCAGTGTAGCCTTTTTTATTAGAAAATACTTGCCTACAACACTGTTGTGATCTGTGGCATTACACTAGCTAAAAACAACAGCTGGCTCAACAATCAGTTTTCATACAAAAGCTAAAAGGTAAATTTCCTTTGTAAGGTGTGCAAATGGCAGATTTCAGCTTCCTCCCTCTCCATTTTTGAGGCTAATGCAGTTCAATAAAATATTTTAATAATACTTTTCTAAGAAGGCATAGATTTGCTCAAATGCTTAAATAGCAACCACACATAGAGATGAAAGCTGTCCATTTCCAGGAATATCTGGAAAGGGATATTCAAAGGCAGCCTCTACAATGGCCACTGGTGATTCAGTTAACATAATACACCTCAATGACATGACTGCTCCTGGGACCTTTGCATTTCCTTTCTAACCTCAAAACTTCCCCTTTGTGTTTTGAACAGGCAAGCCCACGGGGTATGGATCCAGCAGTAGACGCTTACACCACAAGGGAATAGTGGATGAATGCTGCTTCCAGAGCTGCGACCTGAGGAGGCTGGAGATGTATTGTGCTCCGATAAAACCGCCCAAATCCGCGCGCTCCGTACGCGCCCAGCGCCACACCGACATGCCAAAAGCACAAAAGGTAGGTCATGCTGGCAAAAATTCCCATGAGCAACCAAACCACACCAACAAAAAAAGAGCCAACCAAAAAAAAAAACCCCTACGTATTTTAGGGAAGGAAAATTCTATCAAGCATAACATTCACATTCTCTGAAAAAATCCCTTCGCCCAGGATTTTTCTCCGGGGAAGCTGAGAAACCTCAGAGAAAAGGAAAACAATTCTTATCTCATTTGCTTCTCCTCTGTTTTGCTCATGTGGAATGTGTTTGGAGATTGTTTACCCACAGGTGGTTGTTTCATTGGACTCTGCTGTGAGTTGTTTTGACTCACTGGCCAATCAGGGTCGAGACTCTGGAAAGAGTCGCAAGTTCTCATTATTAGCTTTTTAGCACTCAGTAAGTATCCTTTCTGTATTCTTTAGTATAGTATAGTATTCTTTAATATAATATAGTATTATAAAATAATAAATTAGCCTTCTGAGAGCATGGAGTCAGATGCATCATTCCTGCCTTCGTCAGGATGTTCCCAGCAAATACAATAATCAAGGCTGGTAACATAGAAAACAATTGGTGTGTTCTGCCTACTAAATTTAGTGGAAATCTGGAAAATATTTGCCAAGGTGGGAAATAAGTGGGAAGTGGTGTTTTCTATCTCATCTCTTAGAACACTGAATAAAACACAGAATTGCTAAACCAGTAGTTGTGAGGTCTTATCCTGCTACTATAGGGTAGTAAGTGACAAGTACCTACATCATCCAATCATAAATACCACCTAAGACTTCTTTCAAAAGAGAAACTAAACACTGAATGTTTGACAACGCATCTATGCAGAATCTCTTCACTCATCCTCCCCTCTTAGGCAGAGGAAGAGTGGGTGCTCAAGAAGGAAATCAGACATTATGCTATTCATTTTACATTTATTTAAATGAACACATTTTTTTTTCTGCATTATTTTTACCTTTTTTTTAATTTATCAGAACTAAATTAAATGGATAGTCACAGGAATCATTGCAAACTTCATTTTACCTAATTAAAGTTCAATATATCTATATATTCTCCAAGCCATTTCCAATATTGATTGGTATTATTTATAGAGTTGTGGAGTTCTGAGTATCCAGATTTTTGTTCCTCTGATACCAGATATACTGTATGTATGTGTACTGTATGTATCAACAGAGCCTATAGCTCAGAAAACCCATTTTAGACTAGGCTACAATTAAGCTCATGTTCAACTATCTCTCCTGTTTGAGGTCTGAACATCTGTTTTACATATTATCTGTCTTCTGCTGTAAGTCCCCCATGATTTATTTTATTACTGTTGACCCTGTCTGTCCTACACACATGTTGGCACCACTCCTGCAGTTATCTGAAAATTTTTGCTTACAAGACCTGGAACCTAAGATTTCATAGGAAGTCAGGAAACCAGTGCTGTATATTAAAATCCTTAATATCAACTTTATGAAAAGAACTATTGTAATCATTCCAGCATCCATTCTTTTCCATAAGTCAGTTCATAGAATGGAATCCTTTCCCCTTCTTTCCTCAAGAGTTTTCCAAAAATCACTGTACGTGTGATCCTTCCTGGGAAGTATCACCTTGAGGTCTCAAAGGGCACACGGGGCAACAAGTGAAAACTTCTTCAGGTGGAGCTCAACTGCAGAACCCCCTGTTTTAGGTTTATTCCTGTCTGGGCACACAAAAACTCAAGGAAAGCTGGAGAGAAGAAAGCAGGCTTGGCCAGGAACCAGTGTGCTCCTTCCCATGCTTGTTGCTAAGGAGATGGATAAAACATTGGAGTAAAGGAGACAAGATACCTGCCAGCTCTTTGATGAATCTCCACACCACTTTCCTTGGAGGACTAAGGAATGATGTCATCTTTAGGCAGCTGTCCTCTTCCCAGTTTAAAACATAGGCAGGAGAGCACTGTCTTTTACAGACAGGAAAGACCTTGTATCTCTCTGCAGCATCAGGGGAGGTAGCACTCAGGAGAGGTACTGGAAGAAGGAAAAAAATAAAAGGGAGTTGTTATTGAGTAATTGAGAGAGCATAGCTGCTGAAGAAATCATCCTGGAAATTGAAAAGGGAAAAAAATCAAGAGGTGAAATGGACAGTAAAAGGACAATGAGGAGCACAAGAGAAAGAAAAAGGGTGAGGGAATTAGATCAAAGAGGTCAAGAAGATGTAAAATATTGCAAAACTGAATGAAGCAACAAGCATCCCAAATAAAGGATGCAATTTTTAGAAAATTAAATTAGAGATAAATTAATATAAAAGAAAACACCTTTAAGGAAACTGTGCATGAAAAGAAACATGTTGAACAGAATAAAAGAAGTCATAAATGCTTCTCAATAGGAACTTGGCAATAAAAATAACAAATCTCATGGGAAATACAAACAGATTTTAATTTTTTTCTGTGGATGAATAAATTAGTTTGAGGAAATGAAAATACAAACAGGTAGGAGAAACTATTATGCAGATTTCTGATAGATAAAAGGAAAGTCCACTGGAGGGAAGAGGAGTTCTGTAGGAAAAACCAGTACTTATCCTCATTTAATTTTTTTCTTTCTCTTTACTTTTTTCAGTCAGTTGTACATGCTACCATTAAGTAAGACAACTGCGTTCAAACTTTTTTTGGACACACTCTCCCAGGATGAATGAATTTAGCTAGTTCATAGTGCTGATTTTAACTAAAATAATAGACCTGCTTAAGTCAAATTATTTTTCTGTTAAACAATGTTTCTCTCAATATGATATGCCATATATGAGATCTATATCTTCTTCATAGAAAGTGAATATATATACCTATGATTATATAAATACAAGCTCTTCAAAATTTTCATATTTAAATGCAAGATGTAAGGTAGGACTTGGTGCAATACATAAGAGGTTGTTCAGTTCCTCTCAGATTTCATGGAGAATCAGTTTCTTATGCTCTTCATGTATTGGATAGTCTTTGTTCAGCATCTCCTCAATCTTTTTAAATGGTAAATCCAGGATTTGGGGTTTTGGTTTAGTGTTTCTAGTGCTTAAGTGGTCTATTTCCTCAGTTCCTTGTGCAGATGGTTCCTGCTAGGCACAGTTTGGTAGATGATCCTAGTTCAGAGGATTAGGGATCTTCTCTTATTTACAGTTTCAGTATTTCTGCTGGAAAGCAAAGTATTGGTTTCTCCTAGTTACACATTATATTTAGAGTTTTAAAGTGCAAAACAAGAGCAAGAAGGGGAGTTTAAGTCCTGTCTTCGGTGTCATGATACCATCTAGCTTTTCTTTTGTTTGTTTCTTCCTCTTCTGAAAAATGCTTAAAGTTTAGTCAATTATCCTTAAGTGAATTAAATTTTAACAGCAATTTGGAAAAGAGCTATTGAGTAGCTCTTTGAAAAACAACTGCCCTAAAAAAGGAAACAACTGAGCAATTCCCACAACTGTACACATGAGGAAAGATTGTGACCTTTTCAAACGAAGCAGTGTCACAGAAACAATGTCACAAAGTCCTTCTAAATTCAAGATTATGAAGTACCTTGAAAATTACTACTCAATAAGAAGGTTGGTGAGGCTGATTTAAAATTCCAATAAAAAAAGAAACAAAAAATAATTTAGGTAGAAAAGGACTCCAAGAACATTGAGTCCAGCCATTAACTTAGCGCTGCCAAGTCCACCAGTAAATCCTGTCTCTAATGCCACATCTACATATATTTTAAATAACTGCAGGGATAATGACTCTACAGCTTCCTTAGGCAGCCTTTTACAGTGCATAACAATGTTTTCTGAGAAAAAAAGGGTTTCCTGCCATCCCATCTACACCAGCCCTGGTACAACTTGAACTTGTTCATGAGCATAGTGCCATGTCATCCCCTCACCACCTGGGAAAAATGCATATCTAGATATAATTTTGCTCTTCCTTATATTTGCAGTCCTTTTTCTTCTTTAGGCCTCATATGTGAAAAACACACATAAATATATATACCAACAAAGTATGAATAGGAGGTGGATTTTCTCAAAAATGCTTTTCATATTTAATCCAATCTTCAAAATTTAAATAAATACTGAGTGGGACTAAGAGAGAAAGGGAAAAGATACTAGTATTTTTAGTTTAAGAAAATGCCATTAAGAAAACAGAAAAAGTATTGCAATATTTCTCATTAATTTTTCTAAGACTGGCAGATTCTTTTGTAATTGGCTCAGTATCAACTCAGATACATTCACAGGCCAAAATATGCACCACGGCACCAATCCTAATTTCTGTTGAAGCCATGCCACATTACCAAGCCAATGACTGAACTTTTAGGTGTAACAGATAGAAGGACTTGGCCTTTTCAGAGAATTATTTTCTCCCATTGCTTGCTTTGCAGCCCTGTTTTTATGTCAGTGATCACACTGCCCACAGAACTAGAAATCTTTCAGAGACCCCAGAGAATTCATAGCTAAGGTATCATGCCTGTTACTACAAACATTAGACTTTCCATTTATTACCAATAGAGCTAGAGAACTTTCAATGCCAATATGAGGTTTGAATGTCTGCCCTAATGGAATAAGAATGCTGCTGCTTGTGCTGCCCAGTCCCCTTCCAGCTCAGTCAAATGACCATTGCTGAGGCAGTTGTTATCCCACTGCTAACGACGCCTTATCTCCAAAGATCCATGCTGAAGGTGATGGGCTAGAAGTCTGCTCCCCTGTTCTTTAGCTGACTTATAAATTGATCACATTTTGCATCTCTCATCTTAAAATTATTATTGTCTTTGTGTGGGTTTGAATATCAGCTCAGAGAAGTTTTATTTCCAATTACCTTCTTCTCAAAGACTTGAGAAACAAACCAAACTTTTCTACACCAGTACAAATGCAGGTCTGAGAGCCTAATTCAGGCATTCACACCTGCTTTTGGGGTCTGTGCTTTTTTTCTCCTAGTGGTCTCAGTATTTCATACTTGAAAAGAATGTGTTATGTGGATAAAAGCATTTGATGGCATGCATGCTACCACCAGTACACATATTGGTAGTTATCAATCAACATGCTGATTCTGGAGAAGGAAGTGTTCTAAAACAACCTGCCATCTTCCTTCAATTTCAAAGCTAGTTCTTCCATGACAACTCTTTTTCCACCTACATGTCATGATCAAAATCTGTAAGTGAAACACTCCTGCTTTATTTGAATGATAAAGCCATTTTAAAGTCAGACAACAACAGTAGCAGAGAGAATTTATATTTTCATTTTGGAAACATACAGTTAATTTTCAATCCAAATAGACTTTGAAAGTCACTGCAATGAAAAATGAATTTTGTTTCATTTTAAGGCTCTCACTGTCTATTCTATAAATCAAATTTGTAATCTTAAAGAATATATGACTTTTGGCAAATAAAATGAAGCATAGAGCTTTTCCTATATGCTGGTAAACTCTCTTCAAGGAGGAGCACCTAGGGTCAGCACTGAGGAGAATATTTTGTTTTGTTGCTGTGTAGAAAAAAACCCCTGGGCATATGAGTAAAGAAATTCCTGTTTTCGTAACCAATATAAGCACTTGTAGAATAAGTCAGGATCCCTAGTGTTGGCAGACTCCTGTGAAATGCTGCAATGATGATTTTAATCACTGAAAATTTAAGGGTTCACCCAGAATGAGTTTTCAGGATGAAAACTAATGTATAACTTAGGAAAAAGTGAAGGCAACAAAGGTCATTTTGGAAAAGCTGGAAGAGAAACAGGCAATGAAAAGAAAAATATATTCTAATTTAAGGATAAGCAGAATTCTGTTGACATTTCTGATTCTGTATTTGATTGATGCTATTCTACAGCAATATTAGCAAAACTGGATGAAGACAAGCCAGCATCCTTCTGAACTGTTCACAGAAATAGTGCCTAGATGATTAATATAGTATATAATGGCATATTCCTAACAAAAACATTTCTTCATTATGACTATTTTGCTGTTAACAACTTTGGCTTGTCAGTGTTGATAAATCCTAGTTTGGCTCAATGTTTAATACTTGGTGGTTGTATAATTAAGTTAACAATTACTAGTTCTGCCTAATTTTTGTTTTGCATACTAAAAATAATAATTCCTCTCATATCCATCAGATGCCAATACAAATCCAATGAAAATTATAAGCTCTCTATGAGTTCAAGTTTTGTAACCCTTTGGAAGTTTCTGATTTGCTTTATTTTTAATTTAATTTCTGATTTTATTTTTAATAGATACTGAAGGGAAATGGAAAGGTTATAAGTAGAATAGAGTTTTTAAGGGAAATTACTAAAAACCCCCACCAAAAAAATGTTATTACTTTAAATTTTAGAGGCTCACTATTTTTAGGGCTTAAATAACAGCTAATGCAGCAGTAGAGCTGCATACACATGGCTTCACCTTTTACAGAGATTTTGGTTTTTTGCTTTTCTTAGGAAAAAAACCCCATAACTTCACTGAACTAAGGATTTGACTTGTGATGAGTATTATAAATATGGAGAGTCACTCAAAAATTCCAGCCTTGGTCTGATACAGAATATACAGTCTTGGGCCTGATTAATATTTACTAGAGTGGCAAACAAGGAAATCAAATTGAAATGTATGTACCACCCCCATCGCTGCTGCTGCTGGCCTGTGTGTGGAATGACAGAGAACTGAGGGCATTATTCACTCCAAAGCTCTCTTTATTTGCCTGGCACATCACCCTTGTCTGTTTTGAAAATACAAATAATATGGCTGCAGCTTCTGCAGCAAACCCACCATTTTTTTTCCTCCTCAAGGTCTTATCCAACAAATCTATTATGCCATCTGTGCAATATGCAGTTAGCAGAGCAATTTTGAAAATACCTGGTACCAAAGCCCAAGAGATTCCATAAATTCTGCAAGTTACAACTCAAAAGTTCCCTGACCTACATCCCTCCTTTTGCAATTATCTTTGGGAAAGAAAGGGAATCTTTGGTACCTGCTGTACCCCTAAAGTCTATCCAGGTTTCAGCAGCAGATGTCTCCTCTGCCAAGATCAAGAATGACAACAGTGAAAGTGTTTATGTCTAGGAGAGCAGGGGAATTCAAGTACAGAAGTTTTGCATAGTTAAGTTCTCTGTAGATAACTGAATTATTGATTAAAACACAATTACCCAGCAGTTCCAGCACTCTGGACAACTGTTTTCTTACTGTTATAAGTTTTGTGATCATACAATGTATTTAAACCTACCTGTAATAAATTTTTCTTTCTAAACTTTCAGGAAGTGCATTTGAAGAACACAAGTAGAGGGAACACAGGAAACAGAAACTACAGAATGTAAGAACATGCCATCCACAAGAATGAAGAATGAATGTGCCATCTGCAGGATACTTTGCTGTAAATAAATTATTTGTTAAACATTGGAAGACTTAAAAAAACCCCTTTGTTTTAAAAAGCTTGATGCAATTTCAACCAATGGGCATTCTCCCAGTGAACAATGCAACTAAACATTCCAATATTAAGTCTTTAGAGAACAGAACATTTTAACCAGACCAGAGCTAAAAAAATTCTGTGGTTGATATATTGCTGTTTGTTAACCTGTTTTAAATGTCCTGCACGAAAACTCTTAAAGTCCTGTGCCCCTCAAAAGCCTACAAATTTTTGGGCTTTTGATGGATCCAATTGCACTAAATTAACCTATGAACACTGGCTGGTGGAGTCATTCATCAGCCTTGTCTAAGTGGTGGTTTTTTTTATTTGCACTTCTTAACAAGCAACAGGCTGTTTGTTTTACAGTGTCTGAAAACATTGTTTGTCTACCCCTTCATATTTGCACAGTTTGACATTCCCAGTAACAGCAGCAGTAAGGTAACATATACAGTTTTAAACATCCATTAATTCCATCTCTGGCATTTCAACAAAATATGGGTTATAGATGCATTTGTTTTAAGACAGTTTTATTCTTCCTTCTCTTGCAAATTTTTTTTGCAATTTGTGAGACAAAAGATTTTTAAAAGCAGTTCAAGCATACATAGGCTCTCGAACCAGTAATGATTCTTCCAGGTAATTATTTTGTAACAGTATAGGTAACTTCTTTCTTCCTCCATATAATGCAGTATGTAAAATTTAGCATATCAACAATACACATATATCAAACAGTATGTAAAAAATCTCTGTTTTATAGTACAACGGTGCTATTTTATAGTTTGTTACATGAAAGGGTCTGGCCAAAACGGTAATAGGTAAAAGCAAATATGGAAACACCAAGCCAAAGATTAAATAACAAATTACTTGCAAAAATATTCAGCTTAAATCAACTAAAATGGCTTCAGATTTCAACATGAAAATAACTTTACCATCTCCAAAAGAAAATGCTTGTTTCCTCTTAGATACATGAAGGGTGGTATTTTGACATCTGATTATGTGGAACACAAACTCATGTGTAGGCACAAAGAAGAAAATTTGAAAAACACGTGACTTCAAAGAGTAGTCCACCAGGGCCTAAATGTTTCTGAAATATCAGCATTCTGTTCAATCATAAAGGGGTACTCAAGCCCCCCTCCATTTTAATTCTTCCCACAACCAGATGTGGCTTACCTGACTGTGAGTTGGGCTGCATCTCTCTGTAAATCAGAAAAGCTAATGTAATCACCAGATTACTAGTGTAGAATGAGTCCTTGAGGAGAGATTACCCATAGCATCCTTACACCCTCACGAGTGCCATTCATGTGCTCTTGTGGGAGTCAGAGATGCCCAGATAATCCCTGCCGTGTAACTTTGACAGGCCTTGCAGAGGTTCTTCCTTGAATAACACCTCTGCTGTATTTCTGTAAATCAGCCCAGTGTAAATTTGGGATAAGCAGCCAACAGTGTCCCAAGGTGAGCATCAAACCTGTCTGTGAGAGAAGGGAAGGCAGAGGAAGAGGGAGGGAGGAGGAAGGCACTGTTCCACCCTGTCCAAGAACCCCAATGCAGTCCCATTCAACTTTTCCCCTCACCGTGCTGCATGTGGTAGGCTCAGGCAAGGGATGAAGCATTTCTTGGTCAGCTCCAAAAACAGCATATGAAGGGAGCAGTTAGGGAGGTGGCAGATTAGATCCATAAAGGAAGTATCTCCTTTTGAAAGCTGCTCAAATCTGCCCTACTTTCTACTGCAGTATCCCTTCTGGAGAAGGAAGGGCTTTAAAAGCAAAAGAGGGAGTGGATAACTATTGACTTAAACACAAGAGAAAGTTCTCTCCAGACTGCATATGTACAGCTCCTCAATAGTCCCTTGTGAAAGAAGTAGGAAAGGTCATAAAAGTCTAACAAATTATTGTAGTTCCTTTTCTATTCCCATAGAAAATTTGTGGTTTGTATTTTTAACAAGTGCAATGTATTCCTATACAACTCTTTAAACCCTCTGCTTTCTGTGAGATGGATGTCTATATGCACAATAAGCTGCCATAGCAATGTAAAAGTAGAACAGCAAATGAATAAAAAAAATATGTCACAGCTCTCACCGACTGAGATAGTTATGTTGAAAAAGGAAGAAAGTAAAGAGAAACAGATAGGGAAACTAACCTAAATTATTTACCACCAATTCAATGAACAGTGTTAGCAATTCTGATACCTGTCACAGCTCCTACAGGCCTTTTTTTGGCAGGGGGGATGGAGAGGGAAGGACTTTCTTTAGTGGCTATAGGAATTCTGCAATGAAATCTAAGAACAAGCCATTATTTTGATGTCACAGACAGAATATATATTTCCAGTTCAAGCCCCATGACCCTTTTTGTCCCCTGTCTCTTCTGAAGTTCTAAGGGGAAGAGGGAAGAAAGGTGTGAGGGCAAAAAGCAATTTGAGATATCTGTGGCAGCAAGTTTCTTTGTAGATAACTTTTTTACTGATGTGCTTTTAACTGAATAGCTATACATCATTTTGCATTAATTCCTGCAAATTAATTCAAATTTTTGGTCTTATCTTGGGATTCACACACTCACATTCATGCCACCATATTTCTCCTGTTGAAAAACCATAATTAGAAAATGTCACTCGGAGACAGCAATATTTATCACAATTTGACAACTGCCTAAACAAATTGGAGCAATTCTTGAAAGCAGCTAAAATAAATACTGAATAGCTGCAAACTTCAAAGGCAACACTTTGCTTCACTAGAGAATAAATGAGATCACAAAATGTGAAGTAGCTCCAGCCCCACAGAGGTGAGAAATGCATGGGTGGGGAATGCACTTTGTATAAGAAATCTCCAGTCATAAGGCAGGGAGCACATGGTAAACCAGTTAGTTTGAAAGATAAAGCATTAGCTTAATAATCACAATAAACCCACTACTTAAAGAAGTTGAAGCATTAGCTAAAGCATCTCCCTCCCAAATGTACAAAGCAGTCTGCCTTGAAAAACTTCTAATTAGAGAAACTGAAAGGTTCAGCTGGATTTTTAAAAGCACTCCAGATATTTAGGAACAGGGCTCCCACCAGATGCTATTGATTCTCATAAATCACCAAAATGCTAAACAAAAGCACATTTCTCATCTTTCCCTATTGTTTAATTCACATGACAAAGATCACAGATCTCTGCTTTCTAGAATAGACCTAAAATTCCAACTATTACACAGAATACCACTGAAATGCATAATTTAAAAAGTGAATTAAGCCTCATTATTTTCAGTCAGTCCAAAAAGCACTGCAGATCTAAACCCACTTCAGTTAGTATCTCTCTTTCATCAAGGTAGCAAAATTTAAGTCTCATCTACATAGTAAACATAATTAGTCATTAAGAGTTTAAATTTAAAAATCAATAAATTCTTTATTCTGCTCAAAATGTAGTTAGAAATGCACACTTCCATGAAGGACTTGTATGAACTTATTTGCACCATTCAGCCAAGAGAGACAAGGAAATCAAAGCCTGGGCTAGTGCATCCAGTCCTGGTAGACACATGAAAATAGCCCCCTTTTTTCCCAAGGCAGCTTACCCTGCTGATCCCTTTGGTAAGACTGAAGGGTGAATTAGTGGTAAGTTTTCTTTACAAAAGTCAATTCCACACACAACTAGGAGCACCTAGCTGCCCCTGAGCTCCTTGTTCTCTCAGTACCAATGGTTAAATTTGATTAATGAAGACTTCAGGCCAAGCCCTATGTCTTCTTGGCTCTCCATTCAACAAGCAAGTGCATGATATGACAAGATCAGAAAAGTGTATTTGCATATTTGCTTTACCTGTTACTGATTTGGCCAACAATGCCAAAGTGGTGCTATTGTTTTGTTTAAGAAAGTACTTGACTAAAATATAAAAGAAAGCATAAATATTTTTTTAATGTATGAAAATTACATAGGTATGGTTATTAAAATAGAAATAAAACTAGCCATAACTTTTCAACTTTTTGTCACTCAAAAAACAGCAAAGTAATCTTATGTCGATGCAGGTGGGTCAGGAATAAGAGTCAAAATGCCACAAAAATTCATAGACTTCAAATGAAATTCTGAATCCTTATTCCAAGTGAGATATTCAGATGAAGAAAAGAGTTAGAAGTCAGGGAACTGAAAGCCTTGATGTGACTGAAAGCTTTTCAGATTGTGCAAGTCCTATATCATACCAGAGATTTTTAAGCCACACTCTAGTCTGAAATCAGTGTAGAGTTTGGCTTGGTCAGTGGCATGATATGATTGAGATTTTCACTGTGCACACGTTTTCAGTTTTACCTAATTACTTTCTTACTCATGGCACATAATCAAAAACTTGATGTTCTTAAAACTCACAAAAGATGCAAGCACATCTGAAGTTAACAAGGAATGAAAAAAATTATTCTTAACAGGAAATTGTTGGTTTTTTTAATTCTCATCAGTTCCAAATTGTGAGAAAAAGTTGAAATATATGGCTAACAGTCTGTGAATTATTTTTCTTTTATTACTTTATGTGGTCACTATGAACAACCTTACGTGCAAAATTTCACATTTCATTTTTCTGTTTTGAAATTATCCTATAGGCCAAATAGAATACTTATGTTGTTCTGTTGAAGGTATAATCAATATATTTAAAATGTTTTATTTTTAGTCTGAAAAGGAATAGTAATAATTTATTTGGGAGGGTCTGCTTATACTGGTCCCTCTTTTTAGGTTACTGGTCAGTGGAAATTAGTCTTCCAAACACCCAGCTTCTAAACAAAACCAATGTTTTTCCTTCCTCCTGCTCCACCCAGCAAACTTAGTTAAAAGACTATTGCAACATAATTTTATTGTTTGTCTGTTTGTTTGGGAGGGTTGTTTTACTTTGATTCACTTTGTTTTGATTCTGGGGGCAAGGGATAAGGAGGAGGAGATGAGTGATATTTTTTTCTCTTGGGTACAATCCGCATAAAATAAAGAATTTTTCTTAATGAGATTACTAATTATCCAATTCATGTGTGGAAGTGGCATTCAGTAAAGCAACC